TTCTAATATTCCCCAAAGGAGGCTGACCTTAAATATGAAACATTCCTCAACCCTATTTTGATTTTTAGCTTTTCATCGTAGTAGACACTAATTTCCCACCTTTTTTTCTCATTTTGTTAATTTCCTCTCTCGCTGTACTAATGTGGGATGATACAGCTTGAACCGGTCGACAATTGAATAGGGTTCAACGGCGACTATAACTGACTATCTACTATTTAGATCTTTCTAGTAACTAGGACATCACTAAACTTGCCATTACGAAATGAGCTGTCCTATTTTACTAGATTATTATGACTACGTTCTTTTAAGAGGTAAAAAAATATCAGATATCTATGAATTTCAGTTGGGTCAGTAGTTCTTACATCACCAAAAGCTTATAAGAATGCTAACAGTTTTACTGTCTAATTGACTAGTCACTATTTTTTATATAAAACTAGATAAACTTTTCCATTTATTGGAGGTGAATATCATTTCAATAGATTTTTGCAAAAAGAAACAAATTGAACATAGATCCCACGACAGGAGAACAAAAATGAGGTGTTCAAACACTTTGTATATCTACTTTCATATCGTTATTATCAGAAATTATGATAAAAGTATAGTCCTGTTCCATCAAAATATCAACACACTTTTATGAGGCACAAGAAAAGTACTGTTACCCGTAGCTGTGAATCGGATAGGAAAACAGTGAACGAAACCATAGGTGCCTTCGAAACCGACAAGTTAAGAGCAGAGAGACCAGTGATACTGAATGCGATGCTTTGGTGACGTATATATTTTAAACAAAGAGGTGACTTTTTAAACGGAGTAGAATCCTTGAAACATAATTTATGCACTTCCCTTTGAGTAGCCAGGTAGTACCACAGATCAAATGTGGTTAAAAACCGAGTGCAATAATCATAAATTAATGATTTGAAAAAATATCTGTATCGAAGTATGTTGCTATATCGGCACAGCGAGAGGAAAACAAGAAGAGAAAAGAATCGGTAAAATTGGTAACCTCGATAGCAGTAGCGAACTGACGGTGAGACGGGGAATTCAGAAAAAAGGACAAATTGGGGGAATACAATGTATGGGATAATACTCACTTCAAATATCATATCAATAAATTTGAGAAATAACAAACTAAAACAATACAGAAAAACCTGGAATAACTTATAGGGCATTTCAGAAAAATGATAAATAAATTCATATTTACTACAATTGTTAGATGCTTCAAAACTAGAGAGATTAAAAATGATAAAAGAGGTTCAATTTTCGGAGATTTGGAAATAATAATGTGGAAGTACACTGGGGAAAATAAAGTGTCTGTAACTTAAGAATAAAAAATAGTGACATGACTCATTTTATGGACGTCTGAATGTTACCAAAATCGAAGTAGCTGAAACAACAATAAGTGACAGTCAAATCTTAAAGGCACTTAACCACAGCTTTATAGACAACAATTAGAATGAAATACAAAAGGCATGGAACGATGAAATTAACACTGACAAAAGTCGCACAAAATGGGTGCATATTTTCTACAGGAACCAACCCTCAGCCATGTCAACTGAAAAATCCTTCTTCAGTTATCAGAGGAAACTTAACAAAAAAACATTCCCTTATATAGCCAAAGAGAACAGCCAGATTTCTAAGACCGATGTTTTGTTTCGGTCCGAACACCAGTTTTTACTACCTACCCTTACATCAGTGTTCTCATTGGGCAGAGTCTAAGTCGACACGATAACTAATGTTCAGTATTTCCTTAGAGGTACCTTAGGAATTACTTTTTCACGGTGTCGTTAGTCAGGAAAAGGCAACCATCAACAAGATATTTTAATCTCGGTTGAATCCTTCTGTTACTTCGCTACAAACAAGGTTACTCCTATGACTTCAGCTTTCTCCCCCTTCAACACTAATAACAACTATTGGACTTCACAAAGTATTATTCCTGGTGTCCGGAAGTCGCATCTTAAACTGAATTGTGGGGTTATCAATGTTCGAACCCTATGCAAAATTGGGAGTAAAGCTTCATTAACTAGAACTCTGAAATTCCGTTCCATTGATGTAAACGGAATCTCGAAAATTCTCATTAAGGATACAAGTGTGATTATTCACTTGACCTCACCTAGTCGATACAGAGGACCAATGCGACTCACCCTTAGTAGGTTTTAGAGCTTGACTACTGCATATCATGATCTAGCTGACGCAGATATAACAATAAGCTCTAAAGCAAAACACAATTTTCTGGACTCGGTTTCAATGGGCAGTCGATTGTATGCTGTCCAACCAAATGGTATCGGAAACGCCTGGGAGAGTGGGACACGCGCTGTTTAGTCTTTGTTGTCTCTGTCAACACTCTCACTGACTAAAACTCGGATGACGAAAACGCTATATCACAGAAAGCCCTTTTTAAAATATTGGCCTCTATATTCCCTTAATGCTTAACTAGGACTCATAAACAACAAACTCGGGAAAACTAGGCTGATTTTAGAACTGGATGTGAATGCACCAATCAAGTGTTTACCCTTTTTCAGGTCCTAGAACAAAGGAATGTCTATCAGACCAGACAAAAGTTGTATCTCTTGACTCTGTCAACCTGGAGGTTTTGTGGTAGTGTTTAGCGTTAAAACGTGTGCCAAAGTACATAAACCGTGTGGAAGTTCTTTACTTGAAAACTATTGATTGAGTCTCAGATTATGGAGGAATGTTATCGGAATTTCGAACCCCAAGCAGTGTTCGTTAAGGTTTTCCACAATTACCAACTTCGTTTGACTTTATTTCAAATATTCTTTTGCAGATAACGCTTTCAATATCTGACTTTCCATGGATTGATCTATCAGGTTTACGTATCGGCTTACAGTAAGCGGATGATATAATCTTGTTTGGTGAAAATTGGCAAAATTCTGAGCTTTCTGGTTGCCATTATTAACAATAAAAGCATGTTTTAGATGCATTCCCCCTTCTAAAAGTAAAATATAGCTTGAGGACTAGCACATACCAAACTAACAAATGATAACAAATGAAGTAGCTAAGTGTATAGATAAATTTACTTCCGCTGGAAGTCTTATCAACCATGGTGGGTTGATGGCTGGTGAAATTCCAGCACGGGTTCATAGAACTCAGTTATCTTTTACCAACCAGCGTCACTTGTGAAGAAGGATAAATATCCACCATTCAGCGAAAAGGTGAGTATACTGAGCAACAGTTCTCATTTTACCATATAGTTTTGAAACGTGACCTTTAAAAGTAGAGGGAATTAATTTTTATTTATTTATTTGAACACATAAATATTGGTACAAAGGTGCACCAGACATATATGCGCCACACAGAGGGCATTATAAAGTATCTTCGAAGCGTTGTTCGCGTATATTAAGACCACCAAGTAAGTAAAGTTACGGTTATACACACGATACTAGGCAAAGATGATGAACCGGAAAATAAGATTGTGAATCTTTATCCAGCTCAGAAATACTTTGTTTTATCTCGACTTACCATCTTATGGCTTTTTTCATATTATTTATAATCTATTCATCACTTGGAATCGATGGATAAATTGAGTGACTATGAACAATACAAGTAATAAGTATTTAGATCCTTACAGGTTCACAGTTTTGATAAACAATTTTCCTCCTCTCTACCAAGTCCAAATTCAGTTTAAACATCGTTAATCCGTTTATTCTACCACAAATAAATAAATTTCATGATCTACAAAGCAAATGCACGTAACATGTCTATGCTGTTCTGTTTCACAAAGCATTTGAAAGTTGTATGGTAAAGCGAAGAAAGTGATAGATCTAGTCTTCAGTCATTAACTACGTCAGAAACCTTTCACATACAGGTTTAGAATTTAATTTATATTATTAATCTAGAACACAGGTAAACGAAATGTTCATCATGCTCAAATGAATCACTTATAAGCTCAAACTTTTTCTCTTGTAGACCAATGCTAAAGAAATACTATGCATTTGACGCACGTTAAATCCAAGCAAAACATCTTCAGCTTTTGGTACCAATGTACCTCGAAGACTCTTCAAAACAACAAAACACAATAATTCACACGCTTGGAGTTCAAAAACTTACGGTGATCAATAACCTCAGTGAGGTATAAGTGAGGAGTTAGTGTTCAATGAAGTCTCAAAAAAACATGCAAACAAAATAGGCATTCGACAGATGCAAGTCGTGATGAGGTGATTTACTATAACCTCCCTCCACAACAGTAATAATCCTACTAAAACTTGAAGCTTTATCAAAATTTCTGAACTTAATTATCGGACTAAAATCTATTCAGGTTAAGCTGACAAAAGTTAGTTGATCTTAAACTCTCGTCAAAATACCTTCCTTTGGCAAGTCCCAGTTGCCACCTAAATTAATCCGCCTTAAAGCAGCACAATAAGAACTAAAAAACACCATAGTAAAATATTCACCACTTTCACTGGCCTTCGTGACCAACTACTCAGAGTTGAAAGCTGAATTCGCGGAACTTTAAAAGGCCATCAACCTTTTGAGAAAAAGTCCTACCACTGATACCCTTCAGAACTACCTATTCTCTTCTCCATTCCCAACATATACTTCTAAATTTCTGTCCCATATGTTTTTAAGGATGAATCGATGATCTGGTTATGGTCGTACAAAGCTTTTGAATTTTAGTGATATAATTTAGCTAAATACGCACTGCACATCATAACTTGAACATGTAAAGAGGCTTACGAGTAACGAACCCAACAAGAACCATGTAGCAGTACTGTTATAGCTACATCTAATCACAGTTGCCTTATCTCCAGTCATATCTACAATTAAGACTACTCAGGAAAATACCGCTTGTGGTATTACAGCCCATAACTTATAACAAGTATCTGAGTTTGAAAATTTAGATATTGCTAATCCTAACATACCAAATTAAACTGTAGATATAGACCCAAAAATCAACAGACAAACGAATCGTTCGATGACTTGCCAAGCATTGAATACAGTACATAGGGTAAAATCACCGATAAACCATGTGACATAGCATGACCTACCTTCAATCCACAGCTTGTCAAAATTAGTGTCGACAGTAACCGCTTTCAGGCCAAAACAAAATAGACTAAGTACTACTATGGAACTGAGAACCTTCCAATGGTGTGCACAAACAAATTCTTCAAAACGCAAAAACTTTAACCTCCACCACCAATGGAGCGTTGTACAATACGCAGGAACGTAAAAGAAGTTCTTTAAATCATTAAGAGATCTATTTTAACTTACTTCAGAGAACCCCTTAGAGTTTTTGCTGTTGGTACTACTTGGAGAAGCAAAATCTACAACGGTCTTGTCTTCCGAAGAACTTGTATATGCTTTCGAAGTGCTTTCCACTGGTAGTCCATCAAAAACAAACTGTCTAGCACTTTTCATATCTTACATGAATTTCCCCGAAATATTAACTTGTAGCAGCATTATGGGAGAACATAAAATTTGGCCGAAGTACATGATCTAATATAAATTTTGCTGACTAAAAACTCAATACTGATAAATAGACAACAACGATCACAATAACAACTAATGGACTATAATCACAACGCCCGCTGGGGACCTTGTGAGAAATTAACGCCGCTGTATAGTTCAACACTAAGTGATATGTTTAAACACCTAACGCAAAGTATACACTCAAGAACACACCATTTTCAAAATAAGTGGCTGATACAAGAGGCTATGATACTACGGATATTATATGACTTCATGTGAGTGAATCTTGGTTTAGAAAATTTAATTTCCACTTTCAATGACAAAAAGATAAGAGGCTGGACAAGTGTTAGTCCTGGCAATGGCAATCTCTTAGTTGATCCACTTTTCTTCAAGGAAATTCAATCATGTGTTGAGGCAACGAATTCCATGCCTTTATGGTTCGATCAGAAAGCCAAGTAAGTAATTTGATCTGGCCCCCAAATGCCCTTGTACTGCTGAGAGTGTGGAGAGTCCGCTCGCCCTCTTCAAATGCTCTCACATGGCCATGCATATATAGCCTCTGCCAGGGAAGTTCTGTTCATTGCTTTCTCGTGGCATTACTGTTGTTTACGAAATTGAGAGGACGAAAAGCGAATGTCCGGGTTGGTGGACATGGAGAGTCCACCTAGGGGAGTTGGAAAACCCTCATTCCAAACTTGTGGTGCACATGAGCTCCAGTATCCTGAGTGAACTAATGGCGTATGAATTAACCGTTGGTCACCGGCTACCATAGGACTGCATCTCCTTACGATGTTCCACTGCCTTATGTATCAGACCTGTAGGTCGAAGGCTCCAGGTGTGGCTTCCTAAGAAAACCATCTGCTTCGGTTTAGGTGCCCGGGCAGTATCACACCTCTCAAACACATCAAATGAGATTTGTGTCGTGCATATGTATTTGGTGCCTCCTTGTGCCAATATCTATGTGTTTAAAATAAATAAATAAAAACGTCCTTGAAAATTCTGTTGTTTGGAAGTCGAGAAAAATGAGGGGATATCATATGCAAATTTATCACAAAATAATTAATGAACTGCGATCAAACCACCTCCGGGTCTTCTGTATGACAATGCAAATAGATTTAGTTTAGCCAGTCGATTATCATACATGAGCTTTACTATCTCGATAATTAGCATATTTGCGGTTCTTTGAACCTTTTCCAACGACTCGCCGTCTCCTTTTAGGCAGGGACTAGCTGCTTATGTGTGGCACTCGAGTTTAAAACAAATGAATACTGTACACAAATCTACAACGTTTTTAGCATTGACATAGCTAAAGGCTCTACGTATTGACCATAGTGTTCTAAAACCTTTGGTGGCTATCGCACACCAGTGTGTAGTAGTTATTTTAATTTCAGATAAAGATGAAACCAATGTGATTGCATTTCTAAACAACAGATAGCTCGACCAATTTTTTAGGACGACAATCAACAGTTCATGATTTATGTATAGTCATTAACGTTCCTCACATACTGAGACTACCAATGACTCTTCAAATTTGATGGCCCACAATTATGTTCGTTAAGTAATCTTAATGTCGTAATCTTTCGTGAGAAAAAGTGAAGAGCGAAATGATTGAATTTGTAAGGTCTTTTGTCAAACCTGTTCTTTAAAACTTAAGAGATATCTGTTAATGTGTACTGGTGTTGGTTTTGGTTGTATAATTGTATTGTGTAACGTTTCGAGATCGTATTCTGTTACGCACAAGTGGTTTGAGTGATAAAATTCTTCATTTTTTAGTTGTTTCTAACATATGTTTCAATTGAAGTCAGACATATTCTGGTACTCCTGGTTCCAATATTTTTTATTTACGTATAGAAAAAAGTAACGTTTAACTGATACTAGACGTGCAAGGTTATTTTAGAGATGCCGATCAGGAATCTAGGTCACAGTCTACTCGTGTCGTGTGGAAATGGTGTAACCTCCTTGTTCACGTCGAAGTCATACCTCACAGTTAATACTGAAGCTAAATTATGTCATCTTCAACTGGAAGCTGATTTGTTCTCTCCCACGAAAGGCTGTTGCTGATGGTATTCGGCCAATGGATGTTGAGTATCTTGCGAAGACAGCTATTTATAAATACTTGTACCTTCTTGATGGTGGTTGTAGTAGTTCTTCAAGTTTCAGCTCCGTGCAGTAGAACCGACTCGACGTTCGTATTGAAGACTCTGACTTTGATATAGGTTGAAAGTTGTTTTGATTTGCATATGTTCTCCAATTGTACGAACGCGACCCTTGCTTTGCCAATCCTCGTATTTACATCTGCATCTGAACCTCCTTGTTCATCGATGATGCTTCCCAGGTATGTGAAGGACTCTACATCTTCCAGAGTTTCGCCATCAAGAGTGATTGGATTGCTGTTCTCCGCCTTGAATTTGAGGACCTTGGTTTTCCCTTTGTGTATGCTGAGGCCTACTGATGCAGAGACTGCTGCTACACTGGCTGTCTTCATCTGCATCTCTTCGTGTGTACGTGATAGGAGGGCTAGGTCATCTGCGAAGTCCAAATCGTCTAACTGGTTCTGAGCTGTCCATTGTATTCCGTGTTTTCCTTCAGATGTTGAGGTTTTCATAATCCAGTCGACCACCAGAAGAAAGAGGAAGGGAGAGAGTAAACAGCCTTGTCTGACTCCAGTCCTTACTTGGAATGCATCTGTCAGCTGTCCTCCATGCACTACTTTGCACTGTAGTCCGTCGTATGAGTTCCGGATAATGTTGACAATCTTCTCAGGAACTCCGTAGTGTCGAAGAAGTTTCCATAATGTCCTCCTATCTACACTGTCGAATGCCTTTTCATAATCAATGAAGTTGATGTATAGTGATGAGTTCCACTCAACTGATTGTTCGACGATGATCTGCAGTGTTGCAATTTGGTCTGTGCACGACCGATCCTTACGGAATCCAGCTTGTTGGTCTCGAAGTTTGGCGTCTACTGCATCCTTCATCCGGTTCAGCAACACTCTCTTGAAGACTTTCCCTGGTATTGACAGTAGTGTAATGCCTCTGTAGTTTTCACATTTGCTCAGATCTCCTTTCTTTGGAATCTTGACGAGGTGTCCTTCTTTCCAGTCCATTGGCACTTGTTCCTCCTCCCAAATCTTTTTGAATAGAAGGTATAGCATGCTTGTGGTTGCTTCGATGTCTGATTTCAGTGCTCCAGGTGTGGCTTCCTAAGAAAACCATCTGCTTCGGTTTAGGTGCCCGGGCAGTATCACACCTCTCAAACACATCAAATGAGATTTGTGTCGTGCATATGTATTTGGTGCCTCCTTGTGCCAATATCTATGTGTTTAAAATAAATAAATAAAAACGTCCTTGAAAATTCTGTTGTTTGGAAGTCGAGAAAAATGAGGGGATATCATATGCAAATTTATCACAAAATAATTAATGAACTGCGATCAAACCACCTCCGGGTCTTCTGTATGACAATGCAAATAGATTTAGTTTAGCCAGTCGATTATCATACATGAGCTTTACTATCTCGATAATTAGCATATTTGCGGTTCTTTGAACCTTTTCCAACGACTCGCCGTCTCCTTTTAGGCAGGGACTAGCTGCTTATGTGTGGCACTCGAGTTTAAAACAAATGAATACTGTACACAAAGCCACAAAGGTTTTTGTATTGAAATAGATTAAAAATTATTTGATGGTCATAGTGTGCAGAGTGTGTGCATGTGGGGTGCGTGCATAGAGTGAAGTTTAGGGCACCTCCAAGGTATGTCTGTTGCTAATACAATCTGAGAACACCTGAGCCTTAACATAACCGTCACTCACTAATGATTCAGAACTACTGTCTTCTCACAACACTGGAAAGTTGTCTCTTCTTTTAGTCCTTTGGCTCATGTATTGGTGTAGGCCTTTATTATTTGCTATAGATTCTTCAACTAGTTTTTCTTCATAAAATCTTCTAGACTTACAGAAGGTCGATGCAAGAATATTTTGAACTTCCCGATATTGAGATTTCATCTTATCAGCGACCAGTAACCTAACTCCCTCTCAAATTCTTCTATTCTTACGGAGAAGTAAAATCTCAGTTGAGATTCTTTCGAGGGACTTAGCATATCGGCGATTTTTTCTTTGTGGTTCGAAACTCCTTATATGTGCCCAAGTAAACTAAAACAAGTTAAGACAATGCTGCAGATGGAAACATATGCTTTCTCAGATAGTAGTTTTTACATACGCTTAATCGCTTCTATTCTGTGAATCAGTTATATACCGTGCGTAGGAGGATAGCTTATCAGTTAGCAGGATGAGCTGGGCAGAGTTTGGATGTGTTACAAAATGTCATTCATTATGGAATTATTGAGAGTCGTGATGTTTACAAAGAACATATGCCTATGAATAAAGCTTTAGACGAGTAGGTGAGTTATACACAGGGACAACATACTTGTCGTGGTCATTGGGGACTCAGCATCGCTAACACACGGAGTTGTCTGTGCTAGAACAATTTCTTGGCAAGATACAGGAGGAATATTAGGGGATGCATCAAACAAATTATTCCATGATAGTAATCCGGAAGTGACCTCCGCTACTGATGATACTAGTGAGCTGACGTCTATGAAATAGGACCTCAATAACTTAACTATATGGAGTGAAAAATGGCAATTACCATTTAACCTCAACAAGTGCGGGATCATGCACTTTGGAAAGCATCCCTATAAACCGCGACTTCACTTAAATGAATGTATAGTCCAAACACTCGAATCAGTACACGATTTAGGAATTAATTACACAGGAAGCCTAAACTTTGAAGAACATGCCTCCTCTATTATTTCTAAATCTAGACGGCTAATTGGTTTTATAATGAAAAACTTTTTCACAACAGAGGGTAAACTTACTCTCTACAAAATATGTGTACGACCCACCCTTGAATACTGCTCTTTTGTCTTCTCTAATATGAATATCGCAGACAAGATAAGAGTAGAAGATGTTCAAAGACGTTTCACACGTCAACTACTAGGATGTAACTCGAATCTCGATTACACAGACAGATGTAAGCATCTATCTTTAGAACCTTTATGGCACCGTAGGCTAAAACACAATTTAATATTTCTCTACAAAGCGATATATGGGCTCTCCTTTCTAACCTCCTGCCCGACTATCACCCACGACCCAGCCTATAGACTTAGAAACAACGCATATACACTACTTACCGTAAAACACCAAAAACAAATGCGTTGTAAGTTCTTCACAGTACGGTACAGTTTATTGTGGAACAGGCTGCCAATGCCTATCCGTAACTGTGATACGTTTACCAGATTCAAAAAGCTAATAACCCTATTTCTAGACTCCAAAGAGCTTCAACATTACCTTGAACTCCCGCCCACCGATGAGGCACTTTATTATGGACCGCCTAGTATCTAGAAAGAACAAAATTATAACAAGTTCGACTGTTACTAATATGAATATAACCAAATCACAGGATATATGGCTTATCCTTTCCTATTATTCATTGTTTATTAATCATGACTTCATGCTCCTAACCCTAGCTTTCAGTCCCCAAATCTCTACAGGTTAAATGTACATTATTCTTCCTAAAAGTCATGCTTTTTTTTTCTACTGCAAGTAGACAGATAGCTCAATCTTATGGATGCTGATCTACTAAGGCCGATCATTCAAAGCTCAAAATTTGGCCACAAAGTCTTGTGAGTTTCTCAATGTTTTATTTTTTTACCCTAAAGTCTTTTTCTTTTTTTTTCTACAATTTTATACCCTCTCATATCTTTTGATTTACTATTAATCCTTACTTCTTTAAACCATTAGTTATTTTCATAGCAGTGTGATATACTATATGGACGTCTAACCCATAAAACAGAATTTTTAAATATCTGATTTGCTTGTAACATGGACCTAGTAGAGACAGTGTATTCCAACTATGTACTTTGATTAAAGCATTAATCATACTTACCACAAACGTAAGAGAGCCTAACATCACAAAAGGAGGGAGGGTGGCGTTACTGACCAGCAAACATGAAGGTGGGGAGATAACTTCAATCCACCCATGTCTGTAGGGCAGAACATTTTGTTTAATTACGGCTCCTTATGGTTTAGTGGGATGTCACGGACTTATGGTATTGAAGCTGATTTATCACGCAAAATACCTCTTTAAATCGTGTTACGAACGTTGAATTGGTTTCACTTCCTACTCAGAAATCCTATTACAAGCAAACTAGACAATTCGCTAATATACGAAGCCTACTCAAGACCCTATAAAACCTTAAAAAAAACGAAAGGGGCTCTAATAGCTTCGATAATAAAAGGAAGATAGCCAGTTGTATATCACAATACTGTTTCTAGCACTATATTTTATTTTATAATCACACATAATCTTATACTCTCAGCTCTTTTCCGAATCGCCTCCATTTGTCAGTTGTATGTCCACTCACACCTTGCTAAAGCTTATTTTCTTTAACCTATTAAAATGCTCTTTCTTAACAAATACCTTAATAAAAGAAAATTAGACTGAGTAATCATACCTTAAACATTCCTACATGAATATTGGCTACTCTGCCTCTCGTGTTTTCTTTTACTTCCTCCCTCTTTCAGCCCCCTTGAGATATGGAACAGGTTACTTCATCCTGCACCATCCTTAAAGCCTTGGATATCCCAAAGGGACATAAGGTTGCGATTTCTAGAAGCTCATACCTTCAATGGACCTATTCTTGACCGTCAGTCGCACATTCGCAACGCAACTCTCGTGAAGCGCGCCAACTATAGTACTGATTAAAACAATCTACATTCATGTCTTATAAATTTTCAACCCAGCTATGTAATTTAATACAGTGTATATTGTATCATTTGTATCAATTTGATCTTGCCTGTAAACTGGCATGCCTCATGTAACAAACTGTTATTTGGGAATAAATTATTATTATTAAGTTTCCTTTCCTTATTTCTTGATCGATCTTGACGGTAAATATCGAGTGATAGCCAGTTAGATGCTAACAGTTCAGGAATGGACATGCGAATAATTTTCACCCTTTTCACTCCATATTTTCAGCAACCACGATGTATCTGAATGTACTTCTTTGTAACTTTTACAGCCAAAGGTCTTGAACTTTCCATAGGCACACCGGAATAGGTTACGTAACTAATAGACACCTGACGCGTTGAAACAAAAAACAGGTAGCTTGTTAGAATATCTAGATGCAGGAACAGGTAGCCATGTTTTCGAGCAGCACGCTAATTCAAATAATTGTATTGCCGGATATCCAAATATTTATGTGGTTTGATAAAATTTTGAATAATGAACGGATTCATTCAGAATATTTAAACCTTATAGAGAATTTGTGAGGCCTTAATTAAAGAGTCCATTATTATCAGCGATACTTATGACACTTTCTGCATCCGCGGATACGAACCAGAATATAAAGAGGTGGTCGTCACGGACTCGAAGTCATATATTTGATTGAAATTGGTGAATCCAATTTATAGCAGGTTCACACATGTATTATTTTTGAAAAAGTAACATTCTTTTACGCTTCACTTTCGTGCCCAGAATGTTCACCCTGTGTCTACTTCCTCCTGGATTCCCAAAACGTTTTAGAAACCAAACATTTGTGTCGAACCGAACACTTACATTTGTACATTTCCTTTTGTATGTGATTACTTTATGCAAATAGTGCACTAATTCTTAACGTTTGAATGTCTCATTTACTTTATTCTCCGGAGTTAATTCTCTATTTATGACTTTAGGGCGACTCAACAGGCAAATGAGTAAACATTAATAAGCCAGTTAGAGTATGGGAAGATCGTACCTCATCAGCATGGTGTTGAGTGGCCCGCTTGCATCAACTCCGATATTCTTATTTCATTCTCCTACTTTCCATACTCTTGGTAATTCTTCAATGTGCCGCAGAAACTGAACTGATATTTTTTTACTTAGTAAGATGATGGAATCGATATTTCTATGGAAATCGATTATGGAAAGATGCTGGTATACTAATTTCGGTTGACTGGTTGAGAGTTGGCAGAAAATATCTCAGTAATATCAAGAGAATATAAGTCAACTATGCATTTACTTCCTCATTTTTTATAGGTATTATATTTCTTAGTGTATATTAAATACTGCGATTTTTGAGCGTTTAAAAAAGAGAACCTGGCGCTCCAAGTATTCTATCGAACGACCCAATTAAATAACTACCCGTCCATCAGCCTGCTTTCTTCTATCGCTTAAGCGATAGACGCTGTTATTAACCACTCAGAATCCAACCCAACGAAACCCCCACCACAATTTCTCTGGATGTGTAGTCTTTACCGTTCCTTGACTAGTTGTGCAACTGTCTGATGATCTGAGGCTTAATCAAATAAAAACAAGGACAGGGGATACCAAAGATTTTAGCACACCACACGATGCAAAGACAGGTTTTAAAGACGCTTAGTCCGTGGCGGTAAATGCTTCTGTCTTGAAACGTCTAAACCTTGAACCTTAAAGTCACCATCTTTTGTGCAGCAATTCTTTATATAGCGCCGTAGGGACAGTACGACGACTAGTCGGTGACGCCATTACGTGCCCAGCGTTCTTCTCTGTAGGTATGTCACCAGCCCAAAAACACTATAGCACCTTCGGGCTTGAATTACTAGCCATCTACCTAGAGGTAACACATTTCAATTTCCCATTACAGGAAAGTTATTTTATGATAATGGCTGATCACAAGCCCATCTTTTACTAATTTACCACATTATCTGATCTAGAGTTACCACGTGGAACGCTACAATTGCATTACATCTCGCGGTTTACAATCAACGTTCAGTTTATCTGAGGACACTCTAACATCGTAGCAGGCGTATTATCACGAAGGTACTTCAACACCGTGATACAAAAAAACAAGATAATCTCGAACCATGATCAAGTTATCGGTAGAAGAGGATTCAAAAGCCTGCCAAAAAATCTAACTTCACTGTTAAACATGTTCCGATATTTTACTCTTTGGTATCCATTCGACCATTAAAGAAGATAACAGCCGCACATCATCTGAGTGAGTCTTCAGTAGAACCCTGGTATTACCGGGACTATTAGTCAACCCTGATAATAAAACACCAGATCATCCAACACATTTTGCGAGTTGTTTATTGCAGACTATGCAGTAGATTGATATGATAGCTCCATGTTAACATGACCGTCAGTCAAAGTTCAAAGAACATCTGCTGACTTACAGATTCATTTTTGGCATCGTCGACGCCGTTTGTAAACAATTACAAAGTCGTCAAACGAACAGGTAAACACCCCATCGTTGACAAGAATTGAAGAAGAGAAATTATCACAATAGTCAGAGTAAACCTGTTTTCTGTGATAACCAACAAGAGCAATAAAATAATAGTTTGGACAAACAACATAAATCGTCTATTACAATGAAGCCGGCGAACAAAGAGAAAAAAAGTAATGATCATACATTCTCAACACATCCAGGCAGATCAGTAAAAGCCTGAACACTATGTCCGTTTTGCGGATTGATAAATTAAAACATAAAGCAACAAAAAATATGCTCAATCCATCCCAGTTTTTAACGGTCACAATATACCTTCTTCACAAAATGTGCATATAATTATCCAAATTCTATATGTTTACGCGTCATGTCATATATTTTTACCTTGTCATAATTATAATTGAGTGAATTATTCACTAAAGAATCATCTTCTCTTGTGACTACACCTAATGAGTTTGATAATTTATTATCACTGTCATTGTTAGATCCAAACTAATGTTTGGACTGAAGGATAACTGTTTAGGTGGGTTAGATACGCGCCCTTGCCCGGTTGAAACCAAAACAAAGTGATTTGGTAAAGTGACGGTTCTGAAATTTACTATAAATTTAAATGTACATTACTAACTAAACAAATATGACCACCCAACTACCCAACCAATAATTGTTTTATTAATCAAATCTAAATTACAATAAATTAGGAAGTCGATTAATGATGCGGGAAAATTACCAGTCGCAACAAATAAAGGTTATTCTATCCTGTCTGGATAGATCACGCACAGATTCGTTCAAAAGATAACATTTCGTTGCTTTATAACACAGTGTTTCCAATTCTGCAAGAGTGTCTCAATCCACAATCAAAAATGCACAATTCCAGTTAATACAAGCAATACAATCCAAAGGAGGAACAAACAAATATGGCTGCCGCCAAGACTAAGTATCAAGTAAAACAACATAAATGCAGTTCAGGAAGAAACACGGAAACTTAGTGAAGGCGTAAGAAAAATAAAAACTATGATAAAATACAAATATTAACAACTCAAATGAAATCGAAAAGACCAACAAAATGTACAACTTAGAGAATCAATAGGAACAAACTGCATGTGTATACATGGAGGGGTTTTCACAAACAAAACATTCAAAATCTATCATACAGTCCTTACGAGGCATCATCAATGTCTGCACGTTCGTACTTGTAGTAATCAACTTCGCTTACATAACTCTGTACACCAATAAATCACACAACACTAATGCATAAGTCATATATCGTATTATACATACATCTATCAGCACAATACTTTCTCATGAAACATCATCATGTATTCTTTTTGTTTTTGTTACAGCGTGTGTGCATTCGACTTCTTCCTCATTTTTCGCGGACCATTGTAACTACCAGATACTCTGGCGGGAAATAAGTAGAGATAGTTGACACGAATTTATTTTGTAATCAGTTTTTGTTATCACTAGCATTTTTTAATAATTTCTCATGACTTGTGCGATTACCACTACTGATAGTGTAAGGATATTAAGACACGCAATATTCCCGGTCGCATTAACGCTTACTGCGTCTGTCAAAGATCTCGGGTTTGATGAAACCGTATGTGTAATGGAAAGAAAACGCTGAAAATTCCTCTACAGCATCTTGTTGTACAGTATTGTCATTTATTTGTTTCTTCTTCCTGCCGTGTATTTTACCTTTAGTCAGATCTCTTTTAACCACACTTTATGTTCTTTAGTTTTCCTGTTCTGAGCCTTCATTATGTGACTTTGATCAAACACTTTCCTTTCGCTACTTATTTTTTCTGTTGCATGTTGCCGGACTATTGACACTAAGGTCGTGTTTGACCAGGCTAAAAGTCAGTGTGTGACTGATAACCTATGACTGTGTGTTTGGATGGACTGCTGGAATTCCTGCAAACAGATATTTGATCCCATCTTGTTATGAACATTTTTATTGATTCTCAGGCATTCAACCTCTTTGTATTAAGTACTCTATTCATCGTTTAATACGCTAATCTGTGACAGAGAAACCCTGGACTGTGTAGCGCAGGATGTATCGTCGGGGGTATTATGTACTTTTGATATAATTTTTTCTTTTCTTAAATTAGGATCGTTTAAAATGGACAAAGAGTTTGTGTTTTTATAAAATTTAACACGAGTAACTCAAAAACGCTTTGCACGCTATACGGAAGAATGCATTCTGGTCTAACCGAGTAAAGTTTCTTTTGTTAGTTCTGCGTTCAAACCGAATGTTGTCATTTAGGTCGTTACAGTGTATGTTCAGATTCATGCTGCGCTTAAGCGTGCTCTATTAGAGTCGTCAGTAGTCGACTACAGAAACAAAGTTCAAGTTCATCGTCGGTCTCCTCGGTCCAATTAGATTCAGGTGCGTTAGCGTCTAATGCCAAGCACCTGATAAAATTTACTCCATAGTTGAGTGTGCCCCAAAATAAAATCGTCAACTAAGCAGAATTGCCTACGACAGATGACACTGTAAAAGTGTAGTCTTCAAAAGTGAGTTCACAGCCTGTGACTTCAAAAGT